CTCAATTCACATGGAGTTTGGAACCCCGTAACGATAAGTTGTCATTACTGTGTTTTTTTTTTGCCTGGTTCATTGAAAGGTGCTTGTTTACATTAGATCTAAGCAGGTGTTATTAGCCTGAAAATGACAGCACCACTCTACTTGCATCCACCCCAACGGTTATTTGAACCAACAAAATTTGGCTTCTGGTATCGTTCTGAACAGTACATTTTGAAAGTTTTGGTCAATTTCTAAAAGACTGGGAGTTACAGGAGAGGGATTTCTTTAAAAGCAGAATTTTAACACATTCCAGGACTGATCTCTTTAATACGTCGCATTTTCTCCTGCTACATTACAAGTAGTTTGAAAAGTTGATTAGGAGTAGTATTGGGCATGGTAGGACATTGCAGTGGACACATATGTAATGAGAAAAATACAAGAGCTGCTGTAAATGTCACTGCTCATATTTGAGCAGGCTTAAATCTGGCATAAGAGATTGACGGTAAATGCCAGTTTATAGCAGAGGGTGGTTTCAGAGCACTGACCTCTGGGTTACCGGCCCAGCACGCTTCGGCTGAAATCCAGCTGACAAAAAGTAACTTTCCAAAAAACCTTTATTTTCCTCCTTTTTTATTTAACCTCAAAGAATATGTTAGAGTACTGATGCACAGATATGGATCTATCAGTGCACATTTATAGGAAGGTGAAAGTCAAAGAAGAGCTGCTAAAATATTTTCAGAAAATTGTCTGACTACGGATCATAAGACTCTAGGTTCGACTCCTGGCTAGCTCATCTTCTTATTGTCATTGTCTTACTTTTTTTTCCAAGTCAGTTGGTCAATCACTCGCAAACTCGTAAAGCAGAGGCAGCTTGAAATCCAAACCCCATATGAGTAGAAAAGGCACGAAAATCCCCTCATTGGTGATTGATGCAGGTCACAGTCAGGACTTGCTGACTCTAAAATGATCTACTGCAATCGAGTTTTGCTGTTTGAAAACCTTTACCTTCTCTTGAATTTGCTTCAAAGTTCAAAACTAATGAAGGGATAAGTTCCACACTTTTAAACTTTTTGGGAAGGTCCTTTCTGCACAGCTCAATTCACATGGAGTTTGGAACCCCGTAACGATA